TCGGCATTCTCCTCAAAACACAGTACAGGTACATTCAACCCCAAAACACTGATGAAATACACTTACGTAGGGATAATTTAATAGGACTGGTCCCCTAGCACTGGCTGTTCTGCTTCTCAGCAGCTCCAGGGCTCTCTTACACCACTCCACTCTCAAAATAGCTACTGCAGGCAAACAAAAACTCTCTTACAAATTATATCAAATCAGTTTATTTTAAAAGCATGAAGAGGCTAAGCTAGACAACACAAGAAGAAAAAACCCTACAACCACTCCTCATCATGAAGAAAAAGAGACTAACTTGCTTTCAACCGTTACCAGCAGCGTTTGTGCCTGGAAGCAGCTCAGCCTGTAAGCACCCTGTCTCTGAAATTATCTTTCTCTGCTGCAGCTCCTAAGATGAAAAGTCATTTCCATCTACTGATCATGTTGACAATTAAAAATAAAGCCAGAGAAATTAAAAGACTTTTTAAATGTTCTTGCCCAAGGACGCAGTGCAAGCGATGACGTTTAGCCCTACTCCAGCGGTGCCTAACAAAAGGCTCTCTGTGTAAATGGGACATGCTTTGGAAGAATGCCTATTGAACAACTCAACATACAGAGGAAAACGGAAAAGGACAAGGACAAGAGAAGACCTGATAGCCAAACTGATTTCAATAATTCAGGTCACGTCCTGGGAAATCCAAGAAAGGGAAGAGATAAATGTTTAAGAAGAGATAAACACTTCTTCACTCCTGAAGGTATTTAAGTACTTTAAATATGTCAGACCACAAAACTGTATAATACATCTACAGTCCTACACCCACTGGTCCTTCTACCTCTGAGAACAATCTTTATGACCGTGCAAATTCCTTCAAACCCAGTGATAAGAGCAGCATTATAAACTTGATTTTTTTCTCCAGGCTGAGTCAGAACACTCTCCTCCCCCGCTTTGTTTTGCAATGCAGGTGTTGTGTATCACATAACATGTCACAATCATGTATCCCTGCTTTCCTCAGAGCACCCCAACTTGCAGTACAACCTTACCCATCTCTTCTTTCCCTCTTCACCAGAATTTTCTTTGCTGGTAGCAAAGCTGCCTTAAGAAATTTCCCAATTCACAGCACTGTGGCCTCAGCTACTTCCCTCCCTAAAATTTCTATCTGCTGAAAAGACAAAGTCTGGGCGGTGTTTTAACGGCCATGCTCAAACGAAGAGTAGAAATTTCCTGCTTACCTTTGTTTTTTTTTTTTTTTGTTTTTTTTTTTTTTTTTTTTTCTTTTTTTTTCAGGAGGGGATGAAGGACTAAGTAGAGCTGGAATGATATGTGTAGATTTTTTCCCCAAATAATTTTTAAAACAAATTCTCAGTTTTGGCTACAAAGCAAGACCTATAACTCTAACTACACTGTGGAACTGCATTACAGTTTCAGACTTCTCCCATTACGGAGAGATAATAAGCAAAATTCTACCTTTTACTTTAAACAGAGGTGGCCATTTAGCTGGCTGATATTTGGGAAATGACATTGCAAGATTTAAACAAAATTATTTTGGTGACCTTTCCCTTTTCTGTTTATTTACGTATACCTCTCTTTTAACAGAAAGCTAACCAGGAAGCATTCTCATAAACTCACAGACAGAAGGAGGGAAGTTTTCTTCCCTCAGGCTCATGGGTAAAGAGTGATGCTATGACTATCAATTACTGCTGCAATTCTCTAGTGGAAGCAACTGCCTCAGGGCGTATCCTGTCTCCAGCCAGCCACATGATCTCCTCTTTCTGTCCTCTGTTGCC